TATATATATATATACATCGAACTTTGCTAGGGTTTCGCCTCACGGCAAACCCTAGCCTCTCTGCTACTGTAATTCCACACTTGTAGAAGAAAAGGGGCACGCTCCTCTGTTTCCGCCGTCTGCTTCGTCGAGCTGCGTCTGTGCTAGCTGCTCGCTGCTCGCTGTAGGGCCGATCGCGCTCTGCGGCTCCGTTTCCTGCTTCTGCGGCGTCGTCTCGCCGCGGTTCTTCTGCGCAGCTTTTGTTGAACTGAGGTTTCAGCTCTGTCGAGCTCATCTGCGATTTTTGTCTGCGGTTTACTGTCTTCTGCGCAGCACCCCGACCTCTTCGGCCCTCTGCCCGACTTGTAGGGCTTCTCCTTACAGCAATGGAGCTTCTTCTTCGGTTGAACCTGACAAAACCTCATTTGCCCAAGTTGTAGGTAATCCTCAGGGGGAGACGACGGCTGTGTTCCCCTCAAGTTATAAGAAGAATCGTGATGGTACATGTAACTGCCCTTTTATTAAGAATGCAAGCAGGAAATGTGAAAAGACACCCTTTTTCTCTGAGTCAGAAATTTCAACCCTGACTGACAAATTCAAGTTTGCACTCATTGGGAAATTTCAGTAGAGACACCCACCTATGGAGGCTATCAGGAAAAGTTTTGATTACCTCAATTTAGTAAGAAAGTGGAAAGTGAGGCTCGTGGATGGGAGACATGTTTTGATTCAGTTAACAATGCCTGAAGACTACACTCGGATTTTCTCCAAAAAATATCTTAACATTGCTGGTAAACCTTTGAAGCTACTCAAGTGGCATTCCGATTTCGACCCAAATCATGAAACTCCCATTGTGTCGGTATGATTTAGTTTACCTGGTCTCAAGCTGCATTTTTTTCACCATCAGGTTTTCTACTCTTTGGGGCCATCATTGGGGATTCTTTAAAGCTAGATCTGTCTACTTTCAACCTAACCAGACCCTCGGTGGCCAGAATACTTGTGAAAATGGATATTACTTTACCTAATGTTACTGAAGTCTGGCTGGGCACAACCCATAATGGTTATTGACAACAAATCGTCATGGAGCACAGACCCTCATATTGTACCCACTGTAAGATTTTTGGTCATGTCCTTGATAAATGCCACAAGTTTCATCCAAATTTGAAATCTAAGGTTCAAGTGAATAAGGATGGGTCTAAACCCACTGCTCTGGGCATTTTAGTTCCACCTAGGAAGGATACTACCAGACAGGAGGTGTTTTTTGCCCCCGAGGAACCCCCCCATGACACTGTTGTTACTGTTAGTGCGAGTGATGTGATGCTGACACCCCCATAGAAAACAATAATGATAGACAATTACCTACAAATGATAGTGTTCAAACTGATAATCAGGAGAGCCTTGTCGCTCCACTTCTTCAGGAAGTATCAGGTGTAGAGGCGACTCATATTTCACATATACTAGAACCAATTGTGGGTACTACGGTTGGTAATCCTTCTGCTTCAGCTCTACCACCCCATCAGACTGATTCTTCGGAAGAGGAATGATAGGTATATTCTAGGAGGAAGAAGAAGAATGGAGGCCGACTCCAGCTTGGGAACATATTGGATGATACATTGGTTACTACTGGCAAAGACAATCATCTTATCAGCTTCTTAGCTTCCTCTTACCCTAGAACTATAGGCAGAGGCAAAACCAAATTGAGTCACTCTCTAGCCACCTGATACTGTATTTCGGCACTGTTAAGCTTTTTATTTATGTATCTAATGTATTTTTCTGTTTTTTTTCTAGTTTTTGAATCATTTGTGGTTTTTGTGTGGGCATGATGTCATGCTTGGACCCTCCCACACATTATATCTGTATCTTTCTTTCTATTTAATATATTAGCCTTTTTGGGCTTTCAATATATATATATATATATATATATTATTTTACTACTCGCAATGACACTCATCTTACCAATTTATTAGCTGTCTCCTTCCTTAGAACTAGAGGCAAAGGCAAGGCAAAATTGGGTCGCTCTCTAGCCACCCGATACTCCGTATTTTGGCACTTTTTGGTCTTTTTCTTTAGGTCTCTCATGTATTTTGTTGTATTTTCTCTTTTTTGAACCATTTGATGTGGTTGTTATGTTTGGGCCCTCCACACAATCTTTTTGGAACCATATGTATCCTACTTTCTATTTAATATATTTATCCTTGGTCTTTCTAAAAAAAAAAAAATATATATATATATATATATATATATATATAGAACACAGCTCGTCTATATATGCACAAAAACCAGAGGCAACCTTTTAGGCTACTAATTCCACAACACTTGCATGATACCCACCACAAAAATTTCTTTCAAATGTTCAACAGATACACTATACAAGTGCATCGTAGACCTACAAGGCTAAAATTGCCGATATGCAAATTCTTTAGTGAGAAGTATGAAGTTTCTTTGTTTTCACTTGGTAAGGCATGATAAGAATGAAGTTGGACCTTTTCAATAAATTGATGGCAAAAAGCTAAATTTTTATTATTCTATTCAAAAATTACTCTCCAAATAATCACCAACAATAAAAATGCAGTGTTCGTTTAAATTTAAATCAGAAATGGTTCATTTTCAGTTCTCTCGATTGAAAAAGGTCTCAAAATGGCACATGTGTTTATTTAATAGCACTTGTTGAGCAAAAATAGCATTTCTACCTATCTTCTATAGCAATGCTTCAAGATTCAATCAGCAAAAAAAAAATATATAACTAATAAAACCGTAATTATCTTGCTTCTTGCTTCTTGCATCTATCACTTCTATTGCTAGGCTTGATAAATATAGCTATTTTCAACAAATACCGAATTTCTAATGTGATTAATTCTCAGGGTAGAATACAAGCTGCAGCATTTTTGTGCTTCCCTTCTGCACCATATTAATGTATATGACTGAAACCAAACCAGAAAAAATGATCTGCTGAATTGAAGACTGGAAAAATTAATTATAATAAATAACATTAGATTCACTATCTACCATGATTCATGATCCCAAGATGTTTTAGTTCCTCTTTTGCCAGGCTGTAACATCTCTTACTAAAGCAAAAGCCAAAATATAATGAAGGACAAGATAATAAGGGGAGGAATTAAGTCGATCTCAAGAGAATAAAGAAGGTTCTGGTCAAGAATGAAATCTTCATTTGCAATATATCCACCATGTTGCCTCAGAACCTTATAATTATTTGAGAAATTCAAATCAAGTGTGTTTTGGTAGAAACATCCTCAGACAAGCAGCTTTTAAACCTTGGCAATCTGCAAAAATTACTACCACTCTGCAAATTTTTCCTTTTTTTTATATTTGGTGCTTTGCTTTAACATGACTAATCACCACAAACTTCAATGTCTTTGTTTTTTTTTTATTCAAGTTCTAGGCAATAATTCTTCTTATCTTATTTTTCTTTTATTCTACCATCATAAATTGAAGTTTTTTTTGTTTTTGTTTTATATGTTTTTCTTTCCATTAATATAATGTACATAAAGCATTTTTTTCTTCATTTTTAGAACGCTACATGGCTTTTTTTTCCCAACTGCGTGTAAATTGAAATGTAATTTTTATTAGTAATACTATATTCTGTTTTCATACTATCTATCATAATTTTTTAAATCGTGCATTTTTTTCCTGAATTGTGACTATTTCTTTTTGAATTTAAATAAATGTCATAATAAGGTAAACATTTATAAATAATCTGGTATATAATGCATTATAGAATCACATGTGCAAATGAATCCTATATATTTTGATGTTATGGGTTTTTCGGATTTGAAGTATGTTGCAAATGCCAAATTTTAAATGTTACAAAAATATACATATTTATTTACAACTAGTTTTGGAAATTCGACATCTAGTGTTTAAGAAGAAGAAGATGACTGCTTCTTTGCATCTTCCAGTACTTTCGAATATATTTTGGTTTGATAATGATGCCTTTGGCATAATAAGTACGATCATAAAACATATTGCTAATCCTAATACTAACGATTAATTACAAAAATGGAGTGGAGCACCTTCAACTTCATATATATCTAACAAAAGTGTCCACTGAAGCCTTTTAATATAATAACTCTTGATCCACCATTTTTTAATAACCTGATCCTATACTCGCAACGTGTAAGGTTCTTCAATCCACTATAGAAGATACTATAAAGAGAACCGAATTTCCTTCTCAAAAAATAATAGCTTAAACTAATTGGAATCATAAGGAATCCGGCTCATGTTAAGTTAAATGCTGAATATTCCAACTCCACATGCCCCTTACACATAAACATCCCATCCTACACTACACATTGATGATAAGCTTAACACAACAAATCCAGCCATTTATGCATAATTATGAATAGGACAATGCTACATCAGAAAGGAATTATTGAACCCAAATCCAATTATGTTCCCAAGACTAAATGAGAAAGAATGGAAATTTATGTTAGATGGACAAAATTTTGTAAAACTAAAGTCAAAATTAAGGAAATAAATTAAATCTAAATCAACTCATGCAGAATTTAATAGGCGCAAATAAGAATGAGGATTCATAAAGTTAAGCACAAATACTAAGACTCATAATGAAGACCATGATGATGATCACCCCACATTCATATAATCAGATTCAGATGCTGCAGAGTAGAATAAGCGTAAGCAATATGAAAGTTGAAAACAAGTTACCTGCCAAGGACTATTAAAAGGCATATCCAAAAGATTGCGCCGATCCATGTTGATTCCTTGTGAAAAACCAATACCTATAGCAAGAAATATACTTAGCATTCGAAAAACAAAAACTCCATATGAATCAATGTGATGCATGCTAAATCTCTTATGAAATTGTAACTTATAAGTTATGTTTACGTTAGAATTATTTGATACGCTGACAACTGAAAAAACAAAGCCATTTAGTTTGTTTCAATTAGTTAATAAATATCTATTGTAAATTATATTCAACATCCATCTCATTAAATTTTGAAGGCTTGTTATAAGATTATATACCAATTAAGACCCCAACTATTCATTGTGACAAATTTAGTTTCGAAGTATCATATTTCATCAATTTAGTCCCATGAGTCATGACTAAACAAAATCGATCCAAATGATCCATCTTCTAACAACTGTGAAATAAATGATCCATCTTCTAACAACTGTGATAGAAAATTGATTTGAATTTATTCCCTTGGTTACATAGTCCGTCCAAAATATTTTGAATCAATTTTGTATGATTGGGGAAATAAATTAGAAAAATATGAAACTAAATTGATCACAAACGATTAATCAAATACTATTGTGGAGTTCAACCCTTCTTTATGCATGTATGTTTGTGAGTTCAACCCTTTCATTATGCAAAGTTAAAAGCATAGAAAAACGCACCATGAGGCTACCTAATTTCAAAGTTTCCTAGACAAGTTGAGAATAAAAAATAAACTCCTACAACTTGTCTTTAGATCATTCAAATATTTAAGTAAAAAAATGCTACTAAATGAAATAATACTTGAATTATATTCTGTTGTCAAGAGAAGCTGCGGGTGTTTTAGGAATCATTTGGGAATGTAGGATTAGTCTTCAAGTGGAGTTCTTTCCACATTAAAGGGAATTTGAAAATGAAAACACGATTGAGAATTGAAAAATGAGATGGCCCATAAGTAAAATTCCATCATCTTATTCTTTAACTTTGGAAATAAAATCCCACAAGCCTCCCCCAAAAAATAAATAAAATAAAAAAATCTATCAGTTCCAATGAGCCAATGAGTTTTTTTTTTTTACTCAGCACTAGATTTCCTTCCAACATGATTATTCATACTGAATCATTGAAAGTGCTGAAATAATAAAAAAGTAAAAAAAAAGTTGTATAAGTTAAGCATTCTTGGGGTAAATAAATGTGTTATGTTCTCTGCAAAGAACTACATCCAACTTAAAACTAAAGAAATTTTTTAAATAATTAAGGTAACCAGAATCAAAGATCAAGATGATAAAAGCCATAAAATATTGGATCAAATAATTTAGGGTGCCTTTGAGGCCGCTGTAGCTTTTTTAAAAGTAACAGTAGAGCCCATATGAGAAAATTATTTTTTTTGATGCTGTTGTAAAGATTTTTCAATTTGAAAGAGTTAACCAACAGTTACCTCGCAGCTACACCACACTAGCAATTTTGGTTGCAAAAGCAGCTTCTTACCAAAAATTTTTTTAAAAAAAATTAACAAGAAAATCATATCCGAAGGATGGTAATGGTCTGAAAAACCAAGTAATGAGAAATTTATCCCAAACAAACCCTTTATCAACAAGAGGCTTCTTGTTTCAGATAATACTTTCTAAAAGACAAGGTAAAAGATTACTAAATAAATATAAATTATGTCAATAGTACAAATGGCAAACATTATTTAGCGTAGCAATACTAATTGTGGAATTAAAACTTGGAATCAAAAAGTTTGGCTCAAAGGGAAAGGATCAAAACCAGTGTATCTTCTACAAACTGTAAGTTCATAGCATGTTTGTGTTATTTTATTCTAACATATTCAAGGTTTTAACTCTCTGAATATTTCTCTCCTGCTCCATCCCCGAGCTTCTACTGTTTCCAGTCGCAGTAAGCATAGTCACAATAAATGAAGAACACAGCTGATAAGCTCAGAAATTTCAATCTGCATTACCATCCATCCATACTGGATCAATTGAATACAAGCTTAGATATACATAGAAAAGATGGGGATTTGAAAATAATATGTTAATGGTTTTTGCGTTTCATCATAAGAAAATACGCATCTTTTGAAGCTTGAAGTTAGCAAAAACAATATTCATGCAGGACACTTTTAATAGGTTAATCTACCACAGGCAGCACAAGCGAGCACCATAACATAGCACCATGCAAAAGATATTTACATCCAATCAGATAAAGTGCACTAGTTCTAGGAGCTATGAATACTAGTTCATACCATGCTTCAAATCCTTAATTTGTTATACAAGAGAAAAAGAAAGACTTGAAGCATTAATGTAACGAATCACAGAAACCATGTAATCACACCAATGAAATAAAATTTTAGGCAATAGAGAAAAAATAGCAGCTTACATTATAGATAAAGCTTAAGTTCGGATCTTGTGAACCGATCTTACAATGCTATGATTTAATGTTAAAATTTGGTGTTTGACTTGGATAAATTTCTTCTAAATGCACATCCTCTTTTATTTCAACAGTTCTAAGGTTCTCATGAGCAATAACATCATCATTAATTTCTGCGTTATAATGAGATATATTTGTTTAGTTAAAACATACCGATATAGCAAAAACATTTATGTAAAAATCAATTAAAGTTGCAGCCATCCACCTGCACACACAAGAATAGATAACATTACTTGACACGTTTTAACGAGGATCTAATTAGAAAATAAAGTCTAAATATAGTCTAAACAACATATAAAGGTTAAAAGTACGATTTAATTCAAATCTTCATACCAGAAATTTAAGTTCAGACAGGCATTTAATAAACTAATAGGGGGAAAAAATGACCTAAAATAACCAAAAGTGACTGAGCACTCAATGAATAAACTTCTAGTATTTACCTCACATATGAGATGACTTATCAAGACAAATGCAAAGTTAGTTGGTACACTAACACTACTCCAAACAGTGTGATAGGAAAGAGAAGAGCTTCCAGAAAAATTAGGAAAAACACAATATATTACTTCAACAACAAAAAATAACACAATCTAAATACATAAAGATAAACACCTACAATTCGAGAGGCAAACGATCTCTCTAGAATCTTAACCTTAGATTCAAGACTACAATCACACAAATCCTAACACAAAACATATTAGTTTTATTTATGCCCCAAAATAATAACTAACAAAATGATTAAATTACCATATTTTATCCTTACGCCTAATATAAGCATTTAAACTATTTTGGTGGGCTCGGTGTCGACTCAGTGGAGCATGAGGTAGATGGTGTGGTAGGTGTCTGTCTAACATTACTCCTCTTTCAAAAAGACATATTTTTCCTTGAGATGGAGAAGAGTAAACTGTTGTTGGATTAATTCATATAACTCCCACATTGCATCATAATCTAATAATCATCTTCATTTAACCAAACATTCATAGTGACCTTCACAAGTTTGAAATGCAATCTTGTGCACATCCGTTAGCCACCCCCAAATCTGATGGTATCCTAACATCAAGTGAAGCTTGGAGAATCACACAGCCTCAAATAACTCTTTCAATCGTTCATCGATCACTCGGATAGGAAATTTGTGATGTATTACTTCCTTAATGCCAACTCCCACCCTTGTTTTTCACTAACAAGGTTGAGCTAAAGAAAGGGCTCACCAAGGTTGTCTGATCTGAAACTCCAACCTCTCTTGGATCAATCTCTTGATCCCATCTTTCTATACATGAGAGAAGCGATATGGTTGTACACTAATGGAAGAAACACACGGTCTAAGTGTTATTGCATGCTAGTATTCCCTTCGAGGCAGCAATCCGTGCGGCAACTAGAAAACTTCTGTAACGTTTTGTAGGAGTTATTGGATCGGTGTCGGAATCTCTGCCAATTCTGTAATAGGTCTCTTCCAAGCTATGACAATCGATCAAGAATCCCACACTGCACTCTATATTTCCCTAACAATGATCTTGAGTGTCACCAAGATCTTGCACAAACTAGGTTCATCACAAAGCACAAACATCTTGTTTACCTCCTGGAACTCCATTTTCATGAGCTTCTAATTCATCTTAATCTCCTCTAAGTACTGCAACTATTTCATGCCCAATATCATGTCAGTGCTCCCTCAATCCAAGGTAAAAAATATCCTTCACCACCTAAATACCTTGCAGTGTTAAAAATCACCCCTTTACAAACTCTCGTGCTCTTCTCCACATGTCTCGTTCTCAAACTGACTCCAAAATTTATCTGTCAACCATCCCAAGCCCCACTTGCTTTAATAAGTGAGTAGAGATGTGGGTGGCCTATTATCTATCAATAACACTATGTCTTGCTCTCTGATCCATCTCAAAGTTTCAGTGTGGTTCGGTGTTTATCCCATCATCCAATTCAATGAGACTTCAGCCACATCCAAATGGGTGTGTTTTTCCTCCCCCTCCATCACAACTTCCTTTGTTTCTTAACCCCGTGCCTCCTCATCACACACTATAAGAAATTTGAATACATGTAAGGTCCAATCCTTGCAATAGTGTTTTGGGACAAACTTCACGTCACAACAAAAACATAAACCCTTAGCTTGTTTCTCCTGAATCAACGTCTCTATAAAACGTTCAAATTTCACCACCTGTCGTGGCCCATTACTCCTGTCCCATGGAGCCTCTTAATAAAATCACACTGTTTGAGTTTTTGGTATCACCGTAGTTATAGCATTTCCATAGGGCGCTCTGATGCGGGCGTAGATTTAGTGGGTAAATTTTATAAATATTTTTCAATATTACAAAATTACACACGACAGATATATAATAAATATGTAATATAACCCCAATAAAAATATTTTTTTATGAAAATAGTTTATCTTTTAAAACTCTTTTTAAACTGTCAAATCCCCGTTAAAATCAACGCAAGTATACGTATCGCTCAAGTAATAAAGAGCTTTAATGGAGTCCTAGATATCAATCCCACAAGGAAGTTAAAAATCCTTTAAATAAGTTTTGAAATTATTTTATAATTAAAAATACAAAAACAAAAGTACAGTGCTTAGCTTGAATATTAAATACTAAGATATATGCTATATAAAATGAAGTTGAAAAACAAAGTTTACTAACTAAGATCTAACTTTCAAAAGTAAAATTACGAAAACTAAACAATGTTTTTGTTTTGACGGAAAGTTCAAATTTAAGAAAACATCATTCCACTTTACAATAAATATATGGATTGTGAAGAAATTGAAATCATTTGAAAATATATATAAAAACTATTTTGTGCAAAATATGAGCAATCATATTATTTACACTCTTCAGAGTGTTATAATTCAGTATTATAGAGAATCATTGGCTAATCTCGAGTTTGGTCCATAATTCTGTGGTTAGGCTGGGAGTATACTGACTGCGACTCCAGTGCACCCACTACTCCCTCCCCAGAGCTCTCACTACTCCCTCACCTGCTCGCATTAGTTTTCGCATTAGTTTCCAATCAACTAGATCAAATTGGAGATTTTAATCTGTCACCTTAAAATCTTCAATTCTGCATTCAACAAAGTATATTTCTCTATTTATTTGCACCTAATCTCATGGAATCAAATGTGACTCTCCCTATGTTATATAAATCATATCCCTTTTCAGAACATATGTTTCTCAACAAGTTTTAACGTTCCAATAGGCCAGATCGAAAAGTAAATGAAGAACGAAGTTCAAATCATCACAAATTATTAACATTTAAAATTGTAGAAAACAAAATCAATTCTTCACAAAATCATATCTCAAAGTAGAGAGAAGGATAAGAAGACTACTCAGAATTTACGAGAAAGATATGACAAAATACGGATTTCATATATAAAAACAAGGTTACAAAACAAAAGAAATAAAAAACAACTTATCTCACAATCTTTCCCAAACAAATCCCTAGAAGTTCTCTCCAAGTCTTTCTCTCTTTACAATCCCACACAATTCTCTCTAAGAAGTGTAATAATGAAGAAATTTCTCACATTCCTTCTCCTCTTACAACCTTACAAGAAAATCTCCTCTTCTCTTTGTGCCTCTCACGCCAACTTTCTCTCTCCCTTTCTCGTCTTCTCTTTTATTTTTGGGCTGCCTCCTTTAAAAAGAATTCTAAATTTCCTCCAAAAGTCAACTCTTTTGAATTCAAAAAATGTCATTTGATCTAAGAGACACATCCCTTCATAAAAGAATCTTTCAAAGTGTCTAGATGCATTGAATTACTTCAATAGGTGTGTAGAACAAGTGTTCCTTTGTAAATTCGCACAAAATTCGTCTCGAACTGCCTTAATTTGTAAAAAGTCGTCTGTTGTGCATCATGCGTCGATCTGGCGCATCATGTGCCAGTTCTCTGTCAAACGACGCATCATGCGCCAGAATCCCAAAATTCGTTGTTTCTGCTTCAAATTTCATCTTTTTTGTCATTTTTGTTCCAAATGCCTAAAAATGATATACCTAAAATAAAAACATTAAAATACTTTACATGAAAATAACCTTCTTTAAAGTGCAATATCACCAAAATAAACATAAAATGTACACATAAAATAGTATATTATTTTGGTGTATCAAAATCCCTTAAACTTAAATGTTATTTGTCATCAAGTGACACTTTTATTACATAAAAACATTTAACTTAGGATAAAGATTAACTTATAACTTCTACTCTTTAGTTTAATAAATAGAATAGCAAAATTTAAGAAAAATTTTTAATAACTTAGATTCAAACTCTAAGTTTAGAAATACTCAGTAATCAAATTTAAGATTTCTGAATCTCTATTTATTTCAAGAAGAATTGCAATTTGTCATATTAAGAACATTTATAACATTCATATGAAAAATAACTTCATAAAAACTTTACTAGTAATGCTACAAATACTCCAATATAAGTTTAGAAAATGTAATGAAATGACTTTTTAATTAGGTATGTCATAAAGCTTCTCCTCACATCTTTCTTCTTTTATTTTCTTTTTTTTTTATTCTTCTCCTCACTTATTTTTCTTTTTCTTTTCTTTTTTTTCTCTCTTTTTTTTCTTTTAGGATCTTTTCAATCATTTCTTTTCTTCTTTTCAATCCTTAGATCTTTTCAATCCTTTCTTTTCTTTTTCTTTTTATCAAGTGAGGATTACTATATCTGGATAGCTTTTAATGATTTTGAACTTTACTATACTCTTTTTAAAGTTAAACTATGTACCTTTCTTTATACCTTTCTTCACTTTATAAATTCATATTAGTTATGATTTTTCATAAAGTCTCATTCTTTTCTTGTACTTGAAAATGAAACTCTAAAATTCTTAATACTTCAAAAATATAATTTTCTTTACTTTAAATAGAAAAGCATAGTCTTATCATATCATATCAAATACCTTTAACTTTAGAATTGACCTTCATTAATAAAAACTTTTTACTTAAATTTACCATAATATTTATAAACATAAGTATAGTCATTTAAAGTTAAATCTTAATATCCTCAAGTCATAATTTTTAAAATATAGTTAATTGAGGATAAATAAAATTTAGTTTACTTCTTTTCAAAATAAAATTTTCTTTCCCACAAACTTAAGTTTTTAAATGATTCTAAAAATATTTTTAATATAAAATTAAGTAGGTGAAAGAAAACAGTAAATGCATAAAAATAAAAACTTACCTGTAAAGGATTTCTGACTATGAAACTGGA